AAATATATTAATATTAATATTTTAAGGAGGAGAAAACAATAAGCAGAAGGATGAAATTAAACAATAGTAAAAGAAGGGGAAGAGGAAGAAAAAGGAAAAAGACAAAAAAAAACAGAAATAATAAGGAATCTCTGTCTTGGCGTCTAACATCTTTATCTTCAAACACGTTAACACGTAGTTGACGTTGGTGATTGTGAGTACGGTGTTTTACATAGGGAACATATTGGTTTACTTTAAGCCTAACTTTAAGTGATGGAATCCATTACCCCAGAGGGGGCAACTACATCTGGAATATCATATCAGCTGAGCAACAGACGTGGAATCTGTTGCTTACCTCAGCGCCCTGGGCCTGGGGCTGTCTCAAACCACAATCCCTTCCTCTAAATAACCCCAGGTTTTCAGAGCCAGAGAAGTGGCAGAAGGTAGACTACTACAGTGTATATATATGTGTGTATTTACTCTGGTCGCCCTCTAGCAGATACACCAACGTGTCTTAAATACCCTAGAGAAGACACTCGCTCTTTTAACCTGCCTGCGGAGAGATGCTGCTTGCAATGTGGAAGCTGTCAGGGCCAACAAGGCCGCCTGTGTTCTTGAAGCCAATGAAAAGGGAGGGGCTGTCTGTGTGGGCCAGCTGCCTAGGCTAGAGAGCTTTTCCTGGGGCTAGGCAGCAACACATGATCCCTGCAGCTCTCTCCCTGCTTCGTTGACTTCTTCTGGTTCTTCCATTTTTTTTTTTTTTAACTTTGTCTTGTGCCCATGTAGAAACACTGTTAAGTATTTATGCTACCAGTGAGAGATGGGGCCTTGTCAAACCAATCTGTCCACCCCATGCTCACTCCTTCCCTACCACTGCCCTGCTGTCGCACTCGGCACAGGCAAGGTTAAAAGGTGGGCGCAGTGACGTGAACTTAAAGTCCGCAGAGTCAGTGCGGCGACAAGAGTGGAACCAGAGAGGCTTTGCAGTCAGCAGACCAGTGGGACTCAGGAGAGATGTTAAGGGGCGGGGGGTCTATTGATGGATGACTCCTGCGTTGAGCAGATCTGGCGGGGACAGTGTGTGTCTGCGTGTGTCATTAGGGAGATTGATGTGCAGGAAAGCATGAGCACACCGTGTTCATGCGTCAGTTCACACAACCATGCAAGCATTCACACACTTGCAGGGCTGCAGACGGACAAACTAGGACACGTGTAAGAACGCGGTCACACACACACTCGCCTCTCAGGAGTGTGAAGGTTTCACCGAAGTGTGACATGGTGTCAGAGTAATACATTATTCAAGAACTCACTTTTCTTCATCATAGGCATGGCTGAGTGCGGAAGTCTATATTTTTCATTTATTTAGTGAAAATAAAGATGAACGGTGTATAGGCCGCAGCCCGGGGTCAAGTACAATGGGTTTTTTTTTCTCAAAAGGCATAATTAAAGTTCTATCTTTGCAAAATGATGCACACTGTACGGTGCATTCAATCTATTATGCTGTGGAAAATAACACCCCTAGAGTTGGAATAAGGTACTGAAAAGGTCTAGAGATGGGAGAAAATGCTCATACGTTTTTGCAATTGCATTTTTTTTTTTACATTTAATTTTTCAAACCGTTTTGTCGATGTTAATGTAGTGCAATGGTTTCTGAATTTTTTCTGCAGTTCTGCTTTTTGTATATAGGAGTTCAAAACTCCAGTGAATACAGTAGAACCTCGAGATACGAGCGTCTCAACATACTCGTATGTCGAGATACGGGCAAGTCTTCGAGCAAGTTTTTGCTTCGAGATACGAGTAAAGATTTGAGATACGAGCTGGCCGAGCACTCGGAGCAGCTCACGCTGCCTCACTCGTTCACTTCACGTGTTCGTCGACTTCCGTACGCCTCTCCTGCGAGTCTTCCATATTGTGTTTGCGTTATCTACGTGATTATTCTTCATAATAGTGATGAGTCCTCCTCCTCCGCATATGCCTCCATTAGCTGCTACTGTATCGTCTGTCTTGAAGGTTTGAACTCGATTAAAACAACATTTTTTTATATCACAGGAATCTTTATATACTATAATTTTTTTGTGTGTTTGTATGTCTCTATAGCAATTAAAAATATAGCAATTTTTGTTTTTAGAACTAATAAGAGAGAGTTTTTTAGAGGGCCGGAACAGATTTTTTTTTCTTTCTGTTATTTCTTATGGGAAAAAATGATTCGAGATATGAGCACCTCAAGTTACAAGCTCAGTCCTGGAACGGATTGTGCTCATATCTCGAGGTTCCACTGTATTTATTTTAAACACTGCAATTTCTACAAAATCGTTATTCCCCTTGAACATACAAAATAAAATGTGACATCATGAAATGAACCTATGTTGTCATAGAAGGTTACGCAGCTCCAGTTGTATACACCTCGCCTTCGTTGTCGTTCAAAATAAATCCTGTGGCTTTGTAACTCACTAACCTAGCACCCCCATGTGTAGGGTATAAGTGTGGGTATATGTTTCCTCTATTGCCAGCATGTCACCTCGGGGAGAAGAATAACGGCTGGAGTTTTGCAGCCAGTGTTGCTGATGCAGCTTCTGGTTGAAATGTAATACTGGCACAGCTCTGCAACACACAGTGACCTCTCCATGTGTCTCAGAGGTTCATCCCTCTGGCTATGTCCAGGGTGGAACTGCCATTGGTCTATAGGGAGGCTGTCATATCTTACAGGTGTAGAGAAGTGATGTCTCAATTTTTTTCTACTTATATGTTTTTTTACTTTCCCTTTTCCCAGTAGTGAATTCAGTGTTCTGTCTCTATAGGCTTACATGACTGTACGTAGGTGAATGTTCCATACTAAAAATAAGAATAAAAAAACGAATCCCAAATTGGCTTTGGTTTGTTTGAATTATATATATATTATGAATCTGAGTTTTAACAATTTTAATGTTTTAAAATTGTAAATATAAATCAATTCATCATCGACATGTTGTAAAACCTAACATTTTTATTTTACCTTTTTATAAATGATTTACCTGAATCACATAATAACATCTTGGTTATTCAACATGAGATCATTATACAGTATATTGAGAACTAAATCTAAACCACACATGCATCGCCAAACCTTAGGTTTTTTACTGCAAAAATATATGACAATAAACATTTAACTCTTTGCTTTTGTGTGTCCCTGCAGGTTACCTGTATGTCACTTGTCTTATCCAGAACTGTTCAGACAAAATGGTGACGGCGCAATTCCTCGGCAAGATTGACCATAACTCACTGCAGGTGCAGGATGACTACATATTTGTCAAGGTACGTAACCAAATGCATCGAAATGTAACTTAAGCTGTCAAAATCGAAGCATTCACCGTGCTATTTAAATAGTTAAATTGATTAAAAAAATCTTGTCAAATTTTACATTTTTACACATATTTTGTGCTTTTTCAATATTTTAGGTTTTTATTGAGATTCATCTCAATTATCCGTGATTAATTACCACCCTGATTATTTGTGATTAATCACGACTAATTTCATTATAGCTAATCACGATTAACAACGATCACAATTAATCTTGATTAAGAGTCCGCGCACACCTTTGAAAACGACCACAGCTGTCACGTATCACCACTGAGCTTCATGTTCTGTCTACTGTACGTTCCTCTCTCTAAAACCTGCACCACCCTGCTCCTACTGCAGTGCTGCGTAGTATTTATCAGTCCATCGGAACAGTTGGGCTTGTGTTTGCACTCTCAGCTTCAGTACGACGCAGATTTGTTTTAATTTTGCCAATATGTGCTACGACAAACAGAGACATCAAAAAACTGGGACAGCATGCAAAACTCCGACTCTGGTCTCAACTGTATTTGAGTTGCGATTAAGTCCAGCACTGTGGAGTCTGAGGAGGCTGAGGCTAAATCCTATTTGACCGCGATAACAGGCAACTGTGAATGGGCTGGTGTAGCACAAAATCCTAAAGTCAGAAGAGAAAGTACGTGAGAGAATACGTTTTAAAAAAATTTGATTCAAAGAAAAACCACGACTTGTCCTCTGTGGTCGTGCAGTACTTAACTATTTATATGTCAATTTAAAAAATTTGACCTCGTCCTTAGTCTTTTCACTGATTGGTTATATTGACCAGTCTAGCAAAAAAAAATTTTTTTTGTTCAAAATGACAAACTCAATTAAATCAACTTCATTCAAATATAAATTATTTTGACAAAAATGAAACAAAAAATTAACTAAACCTATTTCATGCTCAATCAAATATTGTAATATTAATTTGGTCCAAAATGTCCTATCTAGCACATATGAAGATAATCCCTGTCAATTTTTGACCTGAGAAAACTTTAAGCAGTTGTTTGTTTTACTTAACCCTCCCGTTGTCCTTCGCATTTTTTACACTGCCAGTGTCCTCGCAACAAATTTTAATCTTGTCCCCGAATATGTGTATGAATGAGTATGAGGGAAAAGTTGGCACAAGTCGTGCAGTACAAGAGCATGCACGTGCGCACACGCACGCATACTAACGCACACAAAGGCACATTGGGTCTAGGTGACCCATTGAAGCTGAAGGACAAGAGGGTTAAACCTTGCATTGGTGCATTTCAGCACTGAGTCTTGTGATTCTTGGAAAATTTCCTATCATTAATGCAAAAGAAAGAAAATGCACTGTTTTAATCATTCACATTCAAAATATGTTGCCACATGTTGCTATCACTGTACTAGTGTACTACTGTATTTTCCGGACTAGAAGGCACACTTTTTTTCATCTTTTGGCTGGGTTTGCGACTTATACTCAGGTGCAACTTATAAATCCAAATGTATTATTTCACATATTTGTTATTTTCACACTGACAGCCACTAGAGGGCACTCTAGGCTTGTGTACCAGTATCTGCTACTCCTGTACCAATGAAAATGTACTATTTCGTTACTTTTACACTGTCAGCCACTAGAAGGCACTCTAGGCTTGTGGTCCAGAAAATACGGTATACAGTGATCCCTTGCTATAACGCGGTTTACTTTTCACGGTTTCGCTACTTCACGGATTTGCATCGTGCATTGTGTTCTGCATTCTGATTGGCTAAAAAGTCACTCCGCTTCTTCTCTACCTGTGCGCCAATAACGTTGCGGTTTAATATGTACACGTACGTAAAACAGCTTGCCAAATTGACATTACGTACGTGCAAATTCTCTTGCAATGTCGAGTTTATCAAACCCCATAATGTCGACAAAACGCTCTGGACCGGCAAAAGTACCTGCGGTAGGGACCAAAAGGCAGCGGAAGATGCTGTCTATCGGTGATAAAGTAAAACTATTAGACATGCTAAATGAAGGTAAAAGCTATGCGGCTGTAGGTCGGCATTATGGAATTAATGAATCTTCCGTTCGTTCCATAAAGAAGGAAGAAAAAAACATAAGGAGGACAGCAGCAATAAGTTTTAATAAGGATTCAAAAAGGGTTGCAACTGCCCGCAACAAGACCAGGTAATTTGTATTTTTTTCATAATCATTTTTAATTTTCTCCCGTTCACGGTGGGCGGTGCTAATCTCCGCAATTTGAAGCCTTCTGTTCACGTTGATGATTCAAATTATTATTAGACAGTACATTACAGAAGTTATTTGATGAAACGTTTTTAAAGTACTTTTATTTTACTTTATTTGTGAAACAAATGGTTGAGACTGTAAAATGGTTCGTTCGTTCTTTCTCTTCTTTTTCTGAGTATTTAATTGTAAAAAAAATGCCTATCACGGGTTCTTTTTGGAACGTAACCCCCGCGAAAATCAAGGGTTTACTGTATTACACAGTGTACATTTTTATTTTTGTTTTACTGTGTGTGTATACTGATTATATATGTGCAGTGCCGACTGTAAACTAGTTTGGTCAATATTGAATGCTCAATACTGAGCCTTATCAGTTTTCCGTTTGTTGTTGATAATGAATTGATGATTTTTTTTTTGTTTCATTTATTTTAATGACTTTCAAACCATGCCCTTTGCTAATGCAGTTAGCTGACAACACACATTCATACGCTGCTAATGCCATCCCATTTTAGCAGCTGTTCCCCAGACACTGATCCTCACCTTAAACTCACATACTAATGCTGGCATTAAGGACTGCATTTCATTGTTTCAACACTATTTGATCACTGTTCACTGACGAAAATGCCACAGTCTGCATCTTTTAATCACTGCACTCTTATAATCACAAACCAATCTCAACAGCAACAACACACGCTCTGATGTACACAAGTAAGAAAGGGGGAGGAAAACGGTAAAGGCCGGGCCAAGAAATCCAAAAGTGGTGGCGGAAAATAGAAATCTGTTATTAGGAAAATATATATTAAGTGGTGGCGGAAAATAGAAATCTGTTATCAGGGAAATAAAGAAAAAAAACTTTGATATACTCTAAAGGTCACCATAAGACATCCGAGTAAAACAATTCTTGACATCTTTAATGAATTCTGATTGGCTTCCTATTGGGGGTCCATGTTTGAATGAATAAACATGACTGTGCTATTAGATACTGATAATATTGATTTTAAAATACATTAAAAGAGAGTGACTCACGGTATTTCCTTTTACCTTACTTCCCATCACATTTGAAATGCACTACCTCTCAAACTTTTTAGCACCGCTCATCATGTTCCCAAAGCCAAATAATGATAGGAGTGTTTTTCGGAAAGCTGGTGCAGACATCATTCAGCTCCTGTTTGAGTCGCTGTCAATCACCGTCGTCATCATTCACCAGGCCTCCCTTGCTGAAAACGCTGCCTCAGCTGTTCAGGTTTACCATCTCTAAGCTCTCAGCAGTTGTTGCAGGCGTCCCGGGTCGGTGTGATTCAGCTCTTTCTGGAGCACAGACTCCTGTGCGTGACGTGAGTCGGTGTGTTGGGGCTGACACATTGACTCAACATTAACAGATGGTGACCTCTGCACTGTAACTGTAGTTACTGACTGCCCTTGATGATGAAGTTGCCATGTTCTCGAGGCTTTTATTTTCTCTTTGTAGAGAAAAAAGGCTGTCAAAGAAACTTTTCTTCTGTAATAAACCATACATAATTAACGACTAATTGTGATTAATCGCGATATAATTTATCACTCCTGCTAATAAATGTGATATAAAAAAAAATTCTCTACAAAACTGGAGCAAAAAGACAAAGAACCGCAGCTACGTGAATGTGTTTTAAGGTCCTTTTTGGAATGATGGGAGTATTGTAATATAGGGAAATGTCAAAAGAAGTTGCGGAAGTATGGTAACTCAAAGTTAGCTTGTCATCCATAGACTTACTTACTCCACTGTGCTTGGTGATGCAGTTGCAAATACTGTACATACCTTGTATTGAGATGGTTTTTAAGCTTAAGGTACAAAAACTTCCCCACAGTGTGTTGAAATAACATATCATTGATTATTGTATTAGAGCAAAGGTGAGTGCATGGAGTCGGGAATACATAATGTTCCATCATCTATTATTATTGTATATTCATTTCCTTCCAAGTCTTTTGTACTTCCGATGGATGTCCTTTTTTTTCCTTTGTTTGATTTGACAATTTTGTTTTCCCCTTCTTTTAGGTGACAACAGGGAATCGCACAAAGCACTACGTTTCCTATCGACGCAATGAGTTTGTCCAGATGAGGTTTCCCAAGTACGCCTTACCAAAGGTAAAACATAGTACTTCTGTGTCTAACGTGTCTTTCAGCAAGAAGATTGCTCTTGGATTCACCACAGATTAACATTTGATCGAGTTAACACAGGTTTCTCGCAAAGTCTTAACTAAGTGGAGTATTAGGGTTAATGTGACATTTGAAATTGGTCTTAGGTGTGAATAAATATAATAAATATACTGTTGAAATAACCAAGGCTAGACATGCTTTAAAGAGACATTTCCCTGTCCTTGGGCATTTAAACCAACAAGTATCTTCACTGCGTTCACTTGCTCTGCAGCTGTCAGGGATGTGAACAGTTTCCACAGTCTATATTAAATATTCACCTCTAAGCATTGATCCGGTTGCATCCTAAGCCGAGGATAAATGAGCTCCACCAGAGTACAAGACAGAACAGGAACCTGTGCTGTCAGTGTGGGCTACTCAGGGGGCAGCTTTACAGTGGCACCAGGCTGAGTGTTATTGAACTGTTCTGATTGAACGTCAGACCCCGGGGGGAGATAGCTCATGTATTTTTCAGTTTTAATCTGAGAAAAGGAAATGCTTAAGACAATCACTGGCATTGGCACTCCGTCAGAGAAGAGTGTGTGGAGTGTGTTTTACACCACAGTCCTCTTCTACCTCACACACAGTATGGAAACCACACCGTAGTCCAAAGGAGAGATACTACAGGTCTGATGCTACAACATCAATTACAATTACGAGTGATTTACAAAGAAAAAAAGTAATAGAGTACTATCCATCCATCCATCCATCCATCTATTTATTTTCATCCGCTTATCCGTTACCGGGTCGCGGGGGCAGTAGTCGCCACCCAAATCACACTGCACCGTACCAACCCCCCTGAACCTTCCTGCAGGTGGTGAGTCCACTGGAAGGGACCAACCACCCTAACTGGGATTTGAACTTGCCCAGGAGGTGAACCCTGGGGTTCCACACCAATGACAGAGACATTGCCTCTGGGCCAAAGCGCCACTAATAAAGTACTAATACCACTTAATGGTATCAATACAGAGACTATTATCAGTACCAATACCACTATCCTTATGAGGCCCTACATTCAAATCCTCCTTCTTATACTTGTACTCCTGTCAATCATTGGAGTCAATACAGTTTTTCTACTACAACCAGCTGTGTACCAATCAGTGTTTTTCTACTGCAGGTCAGGGTCTCATTGGCCTTATTGGTAGTACACCAGATATTCATTATTATTTTTTATTCATTTTGGGGTGTTTTTTTTTTTTTATTTTCAAATTTCATCAAGTGGGCTGGATTGAACAACCTAGCGGGTCGGCTTTGGCCCCTGGGCCGTATTGTAACAACTATTTTATTTATTTAATTGATTTATTCAAGCATCATTGTGTCAGTTTGTGTTATCGTGTTAATAGTACAGTTTAAGGAACACTTAAACTTTACTAAAAAAAGAGATGAAGGCAGTTTTTTCAGTGAGCTCTGCTCACTTTCTGTCCAGCTGACGGTGCTATCTATGAAGAAACGTTGTTTTTCGACTGTATTTTGACTTTTTTTTTTTCAAATGTTATTTTTAGTTTTATCAGTACATGCTATTTAAAATATGTTTTACTAAAATGTTGTCCAATGTACAGTATATTCCTAAATTACACACAGTATATACCAGCGAGCTACACAGGACTAATGTGGACATCTGTTCGCAATCATTTTGAAATTTAAAAAAAATTTGAAAACAAAGTTATGTAAGACAGTGGTTCTCAAATTTGTTCTACTCTGTACCACCTGAGAAAACATGGAGCTCTCGGAGTACCACCATGTTGACCAACATTAGAATACAGCAGCATAGGCCTTCCCTGTTAGCTTCCACCACAGGTGCGATATTTATAAATGTCGGCCTTCACTGTAAGCTTCCACCACAGGTGCGATGTTTATAAATATCTATAAAGATGCTTATGTTTAAATGTTGTATTAATTGTCCGTGGTATGTTTCAGCTTTTTTCAATTGAAAATGTAAATGTGAAAATATGAATTTTCCCCGCGTACTGCCAGAGAGCACTCAGGGATGCGCGTACCATGGTTTGAGAACCACTGATTTATTTATTCACAATATTACTGCGAATGTTTGAATTATTTTGAACTTGCCAAGAGGGGACTTCTTGCACCCTTGAGCAATGTCTCTCTGTCAGATAGAGGTGAAGAGGATTGAAGTCGTGCACTTATAAGTGTGCACACACACACACACATTCACACACACACACATTCACATTCACACACACACGCATGACTTTGTGCTGTTTTTAACAAGTGGAGACTACACAGATCAATTTACTGAGGTGTGGCAGGAAGGCAGGGGATAAATTGGTTTGTGTGTGTCCGTGTCTGTATGTGTGTACATGAGTATGCGTGTGTATGTGTGTTTTAAGTATGCCCCAGTTGCTCCCTCTCTCTTGTACCCCCCTCCCCCCCTACATGTGTCCTCTTACTTGGGTGAGCAGATAGGTCGCACGTTGTGACGCTTTTAAGCGAGGCAACTCAGGAAAGGGACCGGAGGGAGAAAGTAGAGAGCAGGAAAGCAAAAGGGGGAGGGTAAAGGAGACGAGAGGACGAGAAAGATAAAGATAGAGGGAGAGGTGGCGATAAAGGACGAGATCAGCAACACAGAAGAAGAGATATGGAAGCAGAAAAATCGGAAAGGTGAGAGAGAGAGAAAAGGCAGTAGGAGAGAGGAGGTATTTTCATGTATTTCCACTTTGAATAATTAAAAGAGTGGAGGATGAAAAATGCAGATGCCTCCAGAGAAAGCAGAGTCTCTTTAGACCTGACCCCAGTAATGGATAAGGCACTCAAACACACACACACACACACGCACAGAGTTTACTGCGCTGTAAAGCAAACACACACACACACGCACACGCACAGTTTACTGCGCTGTAAAGTCAGCGTTGCTTTTATCCTCCCTCTCACCCTCCCTGTTGTCTCACCCCCGTTTTAATCACCTCTGTGTATATGGCTGGTTTAACCAAAGTGAGATTATACAACCGCGGTGTTGTCGTTACTTAAAAGAAAGACAAACTCCATCTTCGCCTGTGTACACTCAGCAAAAACACAGCTTGTTAATAGATGCTCTCTGCTTTGAATTCACTTTAGTGACAGAGTCGTAATATTGCAAGGCTTCTTTCACAACTAACAAACGCTTTAACAGTGGCTTCATCTGTTTTGAATGGCCGCGTGATGGTTGGCATTTGTTCACCTTTGGACAACTGTTACTGGAACTCGGGCTCAGGAGTCTTGTGTTTTTTAAACTTAGCTGCTTTGCTGGGGAATAACACTTGTTCTTACAAGACCAGCTCTAATACTAATAGGAAATTAAAAACAGAATGCACATTTTAAATGGGGCCTTCACTATCCGTTTCTATTCCATAGAATTCTCATGTTTGTATAACTGAGTTTGTCACAAACCGTTAGATTTTTTTAAAATTATGATCATAGATGAAGTGTCAAATATGGCCCATCAAGTCATTTTTTGTGGGTTAAGTTTAGGCCTACAAATAGCTTTGAATCGCCTTATGATAAAGTGAGAGCATATATTGACCATTATCTACAACTGCAACAATGCATTTCATGAGGATGACAGATCTGTGAGTGGTTATCTACAACTGCAACAATGCATTTCACGAGGATGACAGATCTGTGAGCGGAGATCTACTTCATGTGTTCAATATTTCTCCATTTTAAAAATGAGGTCTAAATGTGTTCCTCTCAGTCTTTACTAAATTCAGTTTGGAAAATGTCCAAAGGGCAAACTGAGGATTTTAATATGAATAGTGGGATGTGTTGAGTATGGAAGGAAAAGAGCCCATTATGACAGATGACTGCCAGGCAAAATCTGGCATCTAATGTTGTTGATTATTTTCTTCTTCTTTTAAATCAAACGAGCAAGGGAGCAAAGCTTTTTGCACTTGTCCGCCTTTTGATTAAGTTAAATCTATTGAAGGAGTCCTCGTTTTTTTAACAGTGTCCACCCTGTTTCTATATGATGTATAGAAACAGGTTGTAAAAGAGTGTGATATACTCGCGATGTAGATAGAATAAGTATTAAAAGTGCAAGGGGTCGTACACATCATACACATCAACATCGTAATCTGGGACATAAGAACATCAGAAGAGTCTGATTTACGCCATAATGAAGGGCAAAAAAGTGAATGTAGCACAATCCAATGTATGGCTTCCAACCGGCAAATGTTAACTGAGGCCTCCTGTCCACAGTCAGTGCCTTGTCATGTCATTTGTCCACTCCACTGGCCAACAAGTGGCTGTGCGAAATTTGTGCGAAACAATGAATAGAATTGTTTTTTTATAGTTATGATGTTTTTTCCTGACATTTTCAAATTTTAGTTATGTTGACACTGATCCAAATAGATTTCTGTTAAGTTCGCAACATCACCAGGTAAAATCGTTTGCTGATCATATACTAACGTTTTCATTCTGACTGATTCGTAGAGTGCTATAAATGCGCCTGAGATTTCATGAGCAGAAATTAGAATTTTCTGTAGAAGTACTAGTATAATATGATAAAAAATGGGTAAAAAAAAGGTTCAATTTTGTTGACTATTTAAATTTGAATTATCTTTCAACTAAAACCAAACAAATCTTAAAACCTTTGACTAAACTAGGAGTAAAACCAAGTTACTGTTAAGTCAGCAAACTAAAACCAAATCAAAATTGAATGTCAAAATGACTACTGGTAGCCATAATATTGAATTAGTTTTCAATGTTTATATAAATATTGTCTCTTTTATTGCTTACCGTAGCAACACTGGCACATATGTAAGAGAGAAAGTATCGGTTACTCACTGACGTCCAGCTTTGGTTCCCTTGACTTCTCTGTTGTGTGTAATCTCTATTAGCCCTCTGTCTGATCGTAGGGCATTTGCCACATATACAGTGTCCACATCTGAGTCCTTCATACAAGTACAAACAAGGCACCCGTGACTTCAAATGTTTCCAAACCACAAACACGTTTGTTTCGTGGCTGGTGTTTCTTTTTTGACTTTGGAGACTAACCTCGCTGCTTATTTCTGCTCAGCCTTGTGGTTTGTTTTGCCCTCCACGCACAGGGAATTCAAGTTAAGAATGCACCGTCTGTCTCTGCTCGCCAGACAGTTCACATTTGAATAAAAATTGAGCTGTATCCCTCTGCAGCGGGTCATAAGTTTGAATTCGCTGAGCATGGCTTGATATTTCTAGATCCCTGGATCTCAGATTTTTCATTCTCTGCACTCAGCCTGCGGTCTTGGGTGACTGTGCCTCAGCATGGCCTGACAGAGATGGATGGAGAGCCCTTTTTGTCAGGGGCACTCAGAGATGCAGCTCTGCTTAAGGGCCAACTGTTAAAGATGTGAAATCAGGAATTCTGCCTGGTGATATTTTCAAAACACACAGTCTCTCAAGGCAGACGTTGATGTTTCCAGTGTCCTTTTGTCTTTAGGTCTTTTGTAAAATGTAATTTATTTGAAAACCGTTGAATCCAGTTGAATCAGTTGGCTTAACAAATGTAGGTAGTGGATAAGTACTTTTTTTTTCTACATTTGCAGTATAATTCGTCACTATGCTTCAAGGCGTGTAATGCTCATGTTTGTTGAACTAGTATGCTAAACTTTGATCAACTCAAGTCCTGTTTTCAGGCTGCAAAGAGGCAGGCACTGTACAGGTAAAGTTAAAATGTAGAGATACTTATAGTACCGTATTTTCCGGACCATAAGTCACACTGTTTTTTTTCATCCTTTGGCTGGGTTTGCAACTTATACTCAGGTGCGACTTGTATATTAAAATGTATAATTTCACATGTACATTATTTGCACACTGACAACCACTAGAGGGCACTCTAGTTGGCTCGTGTGACTTATACCCAGGAGCGACTTATAGTCCGTAAAATGCGGTAATAAATGCACCGAAGGAGTCGATTCTCTAATGCAGCTTTTCATGACAACCAGCTGCAGGTCAGTATCTCATTGCCTTCATGAGTATTTGTAAAGTAGTGTGGACAATGTTTAGAGTAATTTCGCCATATCGGCTTACTGACTTATTATCTTACAATATGAACAATTTAAAACCTTAAAAACTTAAAGGACTTGTCACGCCTTAGCCCCTTTATATTTTTATTTTATCCTCAGTTTATTTGATATAAACTTAAACATACCTTCTGTTTGTGGAAAATAGCAAAAAAATTAAACGGATTACTATGCAGGTGGCATAACATTTCTTTGTTTATGTGTAAAAAACATCATCAGAATGTATTAGTCTTCCCCCCCTAGAATTGAGAAGCACTTTTTCTCGAACTGTGACTGAAGAGAGGATAATAAAAAAGTTCTCCATTATGAAAAACAAAGCTGAACTGAGGTCAGCTAAAAAGATTTAGAAGTCATACGTTATCAGCTTTCATCGTGGAGTGTTTGCCGAATTGACAGCGTGTCACTTCAAATGACAAAGTGTTGCATTGTGGAGCAGTTTGGCCGCTGACCCCAGTCAATCAGCCAAACACTTTCATTTAACCTTTGCTTTCACATAGTTGATCTAATTATATAATACAGTTAGAGATAATACAGTCACTGCCAAGTGCAGGTTGTACATGTTCTTTAGTGAACGTATTTATGTCCATACAATACACAGCTGTCGTGCTGCGTTAGGTTCATTGGCTACTTTAGGCTTTTGTTGTGTGAATTGTCGACTCAGAATCTTATGAAGCAGAAATTTGCACACCTCTAGGTGCCAGCTCCTTCTCAAGTTCAAAGCTGATGCCAAACCCTCACAGAATGCTTTCAAAGTGATTGCAAACCGGATTTACTGTAAAGTATCAATCCAAGGAAAAAGGAAGAGGGAGAGAAAAAAAAAGCCACAGGAGATGCCGCAAATCAAGTAGATTACGTGTGTTTGTTCTCAGAAACCCTTAAAGTTGGGTGAAACAAGCAGAGTTTTCACATTTTGGATTAGAAACATTAACCAAGGCATACGCTTAAAATCAACAAATCACAATTTTACTCATTTCCAGGAGCAGGAAGGGAACACAATGGACCCCAGCTATGATCTGTCGCTGACCCTGGCTCAGCCAGTCATCATTTTTTCTGTCATGTCAGAATATAGCCAGAATTTGTGTTCCAAGCGTTTGATAATTTTGTTTCTGTTGTACATTATTTGTGTTTACACTACTCTTTAGGTATTACCTTTCCTGAAGATTCTGACTTATAACAAAAAGCATGTAAACAACATCTATGTGTAGGACTTAGACCAAGCGTGGACAAACTTTTTGACTCGCACGTCGCATTGGCCCTAATATTTGACAGGGGGGCCGGGTCAGGAGCAGATAGATGGAGCGTTCATGTGAACCAAGATAAATGACAAGTAAAAGTCATGCATAAAGGCTAAAATGCTATTGATTTCATCATTTTCTACGCCATTTATTCGGGAAATGTGTGTATTTCAAGGAGAAGGCAGAAATATAATGATAATATAAATAAATTATATAATTTGGAAAAGTTTGGCAGGCCATGCCTGACTTAGACTAAAGTTGATCTGATATGCAATGAAGGTATGGGATAAAGTTTTCAAATCGAGGACTAGGCAAAATTTGTCAAATCAGTGACTAGCTGATTGACTTTAAGACCAGATAAAGTACTGGAGATGCATTTTTGGGGTTTTTTAAGAGTGTTGGTAGAAAAGTTCGAAGAAGGTCAAAGGGGGTTGCGCTGTGTCTTGATGGGTTTAGGGAAAATGTATGAATGGATGCCTTAGGAGTATGAGGTGGTCAGGAGTGGCAGTGAAGTATGTGTAGGTGGTGCAGGACATGTAAAAGGCCAGCGAGATTATAGTTAGATGTTCAGTCTAAGTGGCTGATGCATTCGAAGTAGAGGTGCGGTTACATCAGGGATCAGCTCGGAGTCCCTTGGTGTTTGTTATGCTAAAGGACAGGTTGATACATAAGGTGAGACAGGAGGCTCCATGGACTATGATGTTTGCAGATGACATCTCTAGTAGCGAGGGTAGGGAGGAGGCGCTTTGGAGCAAAGAGGAATGTATGTCAGCAAGCAGTACTGGATACATGTGTTTAAAAAAGAGTGAGGAGAGGGAAACAATAACGATGTGAAGTGGAGATAGTAAAGTTGGGTGAGTTCAAATACGAATACTTAAAAAGGAACCTTTATAAGACGGTAGTGAGACCTGCTATGATGTTTGGTGTAGATACATGGATCTGTTTAAAAGACAAGGGTCTGAGTTGGAGGTAGAGGAGACGTAGGAGATGAAGATGAGATTTTGACTGGGAGTGACCAGGATGGACAGGAGTGGAACTAAGTAAGAAGAAACTTTCTCCATGTCTATTTTAGATGGGTTTTCTTTTTGTTGTTGTGAAAAAAAAAATTCTCCCTTTCTATTTTAGATGGGGGGTTTTTTGTTGTTTTTCAAATCATGATGCAGATGTAGTGCATTCGCGTACGCACAATTGTGCTGTGTCACTGAATGGACACACACCTCCTGCAGCACCTTGCCCTATGCTCAGACAGCTCCATTATGAAATGTCATGATAATACAATCACTAGTGGAGAAAGTGCTGAGCAATGAAGTCATTTGCATTTGAGGCTTACAGTCTTGGAAAAGAACACGTAACGAGTTTTCTGTGCTGCCAAAAACACTTTGTTCATTGGATGAAGTGCTCTCTTATCTCCTCCGTCCCTGTTGACCTGCTGCTCTATTATAGATTATGTTCCTTGGCTCTGAGTAAGCTTCTATCAAACACTTTGACTTTCTTGTAAATCAAACTTTGAATCAAGAGGGGTTTTTTTTCCCTTTTTTCTATTTTTTCCACATCATTTGTTTTGGAAATACTTAATCTTCCTTTTAATTCAATTCCATTCATCAATGATAAGGCCTTTGCTCGTCTACTTCCAGGATGTTCAGATCGTGAGCACGGACGAGAACCAGGTTTTCCTTGCCCTCCAGGAGTGGTACCAGTCTGACACGTATAACCTGTACCAGTCGGACCAGCAGGGCGTTTACTACTCCATGGTCCTGGAAAATGTTCGCAGCACCAAGCAACCGGAAGAGAACGTTCTCATCGACATCTTAGAGGTGAGGACTGTTAGAACAGTTGTATAAACAGAGCTTCGAACCATAACATCACTATATTAAAAAAAGTGCACCATGGGGGGGGGGGTATCTATCGAACCCCAACCCTATCAATACCTGATGTGTCCCCCTAGTGAAATGGCAGTGGGAGCAGTGGCCCTCAGCTCATTTGAGTTAAAGACCTCTGGTCAGTGGTGTGAACAATTTAAGGGAAATATATTTTTAATCCAGCTTGTCTTGCAGGTACGAGGCGTAAAAGGTGTCTTCCTGGCCAATCAGAAGATCGATGGCAAAGTGACGACTGTCATCACTTACAACAAAGGGCGAGACTGGGAACCTTTGGCGCCACCCACCACTGATATGAATGGCAAACCCGTTAGCTGCAAAGCTGTAAGCATCGCCTCACAATTTGAACTTGGGTTTTTTTCCTCTTGTACAGACACTTCAATAGTGTTAGTGAGCACTTTTTGATAGTCAGTTTAATCGATATTTGTACATCTTATAAAAACATTTATTGCAAAATTAAGTTGAAAGACAGGTAGGAGTCAAACTTTCCCCACGGGTTCATGTTGTCTTAATACAGATAATACATCTAGATTTCTTGTATTCAGGAACCAGGTGTAGTTTAACTTGACTTGGGCTCAATGTCCCCTGATGATGTCACTGTGACGTGTCACAGTGGAAAGCTCAGTTGCCCTGTCAATTGATTCATGCATCTGAAATTCACTCTAATTTGCAGAGACATGTAAATAACACAAACTAGTCCCCTACATGAGAAGGATTACAGGATAACGAAAAAAAGAAAAAAAAAATCTCTGACCATTGTACTCAAAATACATTGGCAATACAGGGAGCGTAATTACAGGGTAGCTGTGGATTAGTCATGATTAATCATGAATAGTCATTATTAATCACAACACAACATAAATCAGTGTTCTTAGTCACGCCGAAATTTAGGTGAACTTGTAAAACAGCGATGTCGAAATGACATCGAATGATGCTACAGAAGAACAAGGGAGCTAACAATTGTAAAATTATTAGATATAATGAAAAGTACTATACCTAACAAGGAACACAATCAACACCAGCATGTACTTCACCCGGAGTCACCCACACTCTGGTATCAATACATCATGCTATTCAGCAAGTTCAGTAGTCAGGGAGGCACTCAAATGTTTTGTTAAACCTATTACTCCATTCAGCAAGATTTGAAAGAGATATTGACATCAAGACAATCCGGCCAGACATTTGTTATCGCCGACACAGCCGCACACTCACAGATATCGCAGTTCACTCGAATGCTAACCTCATATTCCCTTTTGCCGTCAGCGATGCCTCATCACAACAATAACAAACACAGCTCTATTGACATCTTTGCTGTATGAGAGATGGCTTTATTTCAAACACAGGTATGGCGCATGTCGCTGGCCTGACAACACACATCGAGATTCACCATCTAATGTGTCTCTGTATCAGGTTCACACTGTCAGCAGCATCTATCGCTTGGCCACCTGATGGAGACATGCTGAGAGTAACGACCTCTGGGGGAACAGGGGCAGTTTATCAGCAGCACAATAAGGTGCAGCGGGGACACACGGCTGGAATCGGCCTTTAATTCAGAGCTGAAAAGAACCATGTAGATTTCACGAGGCAAAGCGATCACCTGTGTTCCTGGATGAAATAAGTCCGCCGCTGTGAATATACAAAGTTAATACGCTTAATACGCTGTGAATATACAAAGTTAATACGCTTTTCCTACCGACAGTTTAAAAGCACTTCCCAAAGAATTGACATTAAGCAACTGTCAAAGTGTGGACACGAACAAAAAAGGGTTCAGCAAAAGGAGGGTAGAAGATAAGAAAAAAGTCTGAAGTTTCGGTTCTTTTTTTTACAGTGCTTAGCATACAGCATGAACATAACGTGTTTCAATTAAAAACGGGTTATATGACAACAGTGGCACCTCACCAGTGGAGCATAGCTTGGGCTGAATTTTCTTGTCAAGACCAACACATTCTTTTATTGGTCTTAATAGCATTATCCTGATACCATTCTTTTTACAAGCAAGTACCAGTACCGTTTTTTTTTTTGTTTGTTTGTTTTTTTGTTTGCTCGCTGATAAGTCTTTAGGATCAGATTATATAAATATGCATTGGACTGGAAGGCATTGGTATATAGATATAAATTATTAAAAATGATATAGAAAACATAATTATAAATAAAATGAGACTTGTTGCATAGATAACACAGCTGCTGAACAGAAAGTGAGCAGAGCTTTGACACCACGGCTGTCAAACTCATTTTGGTTCAGGGGCCACATACAGTCTAATAAGGAGTTGAATAACAATACATACTAAATGTTTTTTCCCCTTTGTTATATATAGTATATTAGACAATCCTCATATTTAATGAAATATAATTTTACTGAAAAACATATCTCAGTGGGTTTGTCCATTGTTTTTATTTTCAAAATTCATCAAGCCGACCGCATTGACCCCCCTTATGGGCCTTGTTTGGCATTATTTTTAAGCATTATTTTGATGTTATTTTAATGTTGGTTAAATAAGACTTATTAAAAAGTGACTCGATGAGGTGACTGAAAGAAGTATCAGCAAACTTCCAGTGAGGGTGTGTACAAACTATGACGAAACAAGCCGCTACAAGATAGTGATCTCTTGATTGGAATTCTCCTTTTGTTCAAATGTCATCCTTACTGGTGACATATATTTATATTTCAAAAATGCATTCATTTGCTGGTTTTTGAGTTACTCCGAGACATACAGTAAAATGAAGCACCTGTCTTGCATTATTGTTTGCCTCCAGTCAGTTTGTATCTTCCAGGAGGTTCAATCATGTTGGTTGTCAACAGAAACAACATATAGTTTATGAAACACCATAAAACTTAACAATGTGAGACAACCTTGCTGAAAGGCGTAGAATTTATAACTCAGGGTGGACCACGTGGGATTTTGTCTCTCGCAGTGTCAACTTTTATTTACTTCAGTCCTAAGATTTCTCTGAAGTGAAGTACGAACACCATGTTAGACGAGCGTTGCTGCGGGCATTATGGATGTTGTTGTTCTGGACTCTACCGCTGTCTCCTCAGTCTGTTCTCCTTACTTTATTGTTCCAAATTTGTCAGGCGTTAAAATGAAACATTGTCACAGACTTAGACTTAGTTCAAAGCAAATATACCAAGTTAGAGCTGAGAGAAGTTAAATTATTTGAAATTAGTATTAGATTGTATTAGATTGAACAGTTGGATTGAAATACGATGGGATGAGATCAGACTAGTACTTTTTACTACTACTTTTTACTGATATTGCCCAAACACTTAATTTCTGACCTCGATATCAAATGATACTGATATAAGCAGCCGTTTGAGATTCCTGACCAAGTGATTCCAGCATAATTGGCAAAAACACACGCATTGTGTTTTTGGATTTGCATTATTGGAGGAAAAACCAATAACGATTCCCACTGATATTACATAATTATGCTAAAATCAGATCGATAATATTGGTCGATCGATATTAGATTAGATTAGATTAGATTAGATTAGATTAGATTAGATTAGATTAGATTAGATTAGATTAGATTAGATTAGATCAGATTAAATTAAATAAAATGTTGGATTAGAAAAGGGATGGATATGAAATAGTATACATTAGATTAGATTTTGGGTTAGATAATGTTAGGTTAGGTTGGACAAGAAAGAGTTGGATTTGTTTAGATTAGATTACATTAGATTAGATTAAATTAGATGCCATTAGGCTGGATAAGAAATAGGATGCATTAGATTGGAGTTTAGATATGATTTGATTCATTTCGATAAAAAAAGACTCTTATTGTCAGGAAAACAAATTAATTTTGAAAAAAAAAACCCAAAGCACTCATTATCAATTTTATATCCCACAACGAAGAGCTCTTGTTGATAATTGAATTTCAAATGTTAGAATGGTCACAGATTTCCTCAGTGATAATTTGTACTGCCCTTGCTCAAAAAGAGAGTGCCTCTCCATTTTAGTCCACCTTGTACTTCATCACACACCCAAGGAAAGTAGCCCAGCTGCAGGCAACTGTGGATCCCAGTGTTAGCATTTATGAATCTCATGTTTGATTCTCTCATTTAAAATGAAGAAGGTCCCATTAAGTGGCCCGGACTGTATTAGCCTCACCGTGTGCGATGAAGGCCACACGCTGAGATGTGTTTGCAGTCGAGTTATGGAGCGTCTTTGTGCTAAGACTCATTAAACACGGCTAAGGTGCGGGTGTCTACACTAGTAGTTGTACACTGCATGTCCTTCAGGCCTCTAATAGACAGATGGATGAGCGTATATATCGTATAAACTTTAATATTCACCATTGTCTCTCCTCCATACAGCCCGACTGTCACCTCCACTTGCATCTGCGCTGGGCGGACAACCCTTATGTCTCTGGGACGGTGCACACTAAAGACTCAGCTCCAGGTCTCATCATGGGTGCAGGTGAGTCTACCAAAAAAATACTTTTTTGTTTGCATTGTTGCATTGACAACAAATCCATTGCAAGTTCTTGCGTTGCCATTTTATGGATTTTGCCTCCATCAATGTAGAATTTTCCAAAAGATAACTGCAGATTATATACACTAGAGCTAGAGCGACCCACATATTTTCCAAAAGATAACTGCAGATTATACACGCTAGAGCTAGAGCGACCCAAGTCAATAGACATTATAGGAAAAAAATCTCTTGTGATCCACCTGAGGGTCACGATCCAGTCTTTGGGAAACAATGCGCTAGACCAGTGGTTCCCAAACTTCTCTGTGCCCCTCTTTTGGTTCAAAAAATGTTTGTGCCCCAACTTGAAAAAACAGGACACATACACATATTTTGTTTTCAAACTTGTTTATTTAACACATTTAAAATTAAATTTTTTGTAACGTATCTTATCGATTTTATGCTAGCATTGCTAACCTTGCGTGTGGGGGGTACACTGCATAGGGCTGCTCGGAGCAGATCGAACAGACGATAGCAAAAATGAAAGCAAGAATTAAAAGTTACAGCCTCCTTTGCAATATTATTATCAGCTATTAATTTTACACCGCCTTCAACCAATTTAATTTTTTTATTTTTTTTTGCCAGTCTCTTGTTAAACATTTACAACTTTGGACTCCCAAAGGGTGCACAGTGCCATGGGATGATACATTTGTGAGTCGCCAAGGAATTTAATGACATCATCATCATCACACTGACAGAGGAAGAACTACACAGACACATGTCCAACAACGGTCATGTAACTCTCCATATATTACTTTAGTATCTATACCTAACACAGCAATCACTTGTTCTATCCCAGTGAGATGATCGGATTTCGAGTCTCTTTTTTAGTGATGGTTTTGTGACAGTTTCATCCTCCAGGACGGACTGGCCGGGATGCTCTAATCATGTATTATCACATTATATTACAATAAATTTGGCATACGCTTTTATCTAAAGCGACTTACAATTTGAGTCAGTCAATCAACAATCAGGCTACTGTAAACATAGAAAATACAAAAGTACATAAACAATCAATAATAATAAATAGTAATAAATAATGATAAATAATAAATACTAATAAATACTAATAAATAATAAATCTTAAAAGTACAGTTACAGTCATAGAGTAAGAAGAGGTGCATGTTCGATATTAGATCATGTAGCCACTTGTGTTTTTCCTTACGAGCACCTGTTAACATTGACGGGTAAAATATCAGCTCAAACCAATCAGAATTAAAGAGTGCATTGGCGCACATGCAGGAGAAAAATTATTTTGACTTTTTGACTTTTCCCAGGCTACGTCGACTTATGCCACTGACATCAACGCAAGAGTTGTTTTTTTCTGTCAACGTCCTAATATATGCTACTGCTAACTATTTAAGAACACAATAAAACTAAAAGGACTTAATTCCAGAATGCAGTTTGACAGAAATTTGGTAGAAATCCTTTTTTAACACTGAAGAGCAGTTGTTATGTATTTCAAGTTTAAATGTTGGAACAGTGGTGGCTTGGTGGTTAAGGAAGTGGACGTGGGTCTGGAGGCTTTCAGGTTCGAGTCCACCAGCTCCCCACACACTGCTCCCCAGGCCCTTAAAGCTGCCCACTGTTCACTTTGGTGATGGGTTAAAAGCAGAGGTCACGTTTGGTTTGACCTTGGTTTTGCAGTGGTGTGTCAAAATGACAAGTAGTTCACTTTCCTTTCCTTCGTTCCTTAAATAAATATTGTAAACATATGGCAGCATTGGTTTGTTGTATACAGTATATATGTGTATTTTTGTCAGCTGCCTCCACAGTAAATTTCCATCCTCGTCTACAACAGTTCACATGGCTGAGCTAAAAAGTGTCACTTCCCCAGAGAGAAGCCTCCATTTACTGCAGGAAAAGCTTTGACACAAGTACTCCTCTGGTGCGTTGCTACTTGCCTGAGCACTCAAGCACTCAGCGGAGTTTATTGAAGCAACAGCAGTTTTATTTATTGAACAGCTCACCGTGTTTGTTTTGTATGCAGACATTTCAAATAAAAAGCAAAAAAAACAAAAAAAAAAAACCCTGTCACTCCCAGAGGTCCTGTAAAGCAAGTAAAAATACAGTAGAGAAAATGGCCACGTAACGGGGCGTCTTAAAGTCTGCAGCCTAACTCGGGAATCAAGCTTGGACATTATTCTTAAACACTTTTCTCTAATAAAAGACTTTTGTCTTTTATTATTTATAGTCCAAATTCACAAAATACATTTGCTTCAATTTACTTTACAGCTTTAAAAGCTAAATTAAAGTGGTCCTTGTTTAAAAAGCAAATATACCAGGGGTCATCAACATGGTTCCAGGGGGAACCTGGTAGCCCCCCAAGGTGGCCATGGGGTGTATTCTAAAAATAAAACTAGTCAACAAGAGGGTCAAATGTTGTACTGTTACTGTGGTTTTTGAATCAGTTCCACTTCCAATAATATTCAAATGGGTGCAATGACAATGGTAAGAAGAGTGTCTACTATTGTATGTCCCAGAACTAATTATTATTACATTGTTGGGGAAGTCTGTATAAACAAGTAGCTCTTTGTATGGGGAAGTCTGTATCAAACAAGTAGCTCTTTGTATACAATGGGGATCGAACGTTTGGGCACCCCAGGTAAAAAGTTGTATTGATGTGCATAAAGAAGCCAAAGAAAGATGGAAAAATCTCCAAAAGGGCATCAAACTACAGAGGAGACTTCTTATAATATGTCAAAAAAAACTTAGATTTTATTTCTATTATTTACACTTAAAAAAATAACAGAAAGCAAAATAATGGCGTCTGCAAAAGTTTGGGCGCCCTGCAGAGTTAATACCTTGTCCTGCCCCCTTTGGCAAGTATCACAGCTTGTAAAGGCTTTTTGTAGCCAGCCAAGAGTCTTTCAATTCTTGTTTGAGGTATCTTCGCCCATTCTTCCTTACAGAAGTCTTCAAGTTCTTTGAGTTTTCTGGGCTGTCTGTTACACACTGCTCTTTTAAGGTCTATCCATAGATTTTCAATTATGTTGAGGTCAGGAGATTGTGAAGGCCATGGCAAAACCTTCTCTTGATGTAATCCACCGTGGATTTTGAGGTGTGCTTAGGATCATTATCCATTTGTAGAAGCCATCCTCTTTTTTTTTTCCCTTTCTACTCGAGAAATGTTCTCTGTGCCACTGGCTGCAATACAACGCCAAAGTATGATTGATCCACCCCCATGCTTAACAGTTGGACAGAGGTTCTTTTTATTCAATTCTCTGCCCTTACTTTTAATGTACCTTTGCTCATCCCGCCAAAAAGTTCTATTTTAACCTTATCGGCCCACTGAACTTGTTTCCGGAATGCATCAGGCTTGTCTATATGTTCATTTGCGAACTTCAAGCGCTGATTTCTGTGGTGAGGACATAGGAGAGGTTTTCTTCTGATGACTCTTCCATGCAGACCATATTTGTACAAGTATCAACACCTGTGTCTGCCAGATCTTTCTGGAGGGATTGTGCAGTCTAACGTGGATTTTGACTTGCTTTTCTCACAATCTTGCGAGTTGTTCTGTCTGATATTTTTCTTCGTCTTCCAGATCTTGCTTTAACTTCCACTGTTCCTGATTACATTCCGAACAGAGGATATTGGCATCTGAAAACACTTTGCTATCTTCTTACAGCCTTCTCCTGCTTTGTGAGCGTCAACTATTTTCACTTCCAGCGTTCTAGACAACTGCTTAGAAGAACCCATGGTGCTGATTGTTGGGGCAATGTCAGATGAGTCTGGGCATTTAAAACCTTTGAGATTTACATCGTGAACAATCCATGACACTGCCAGGTCTCAGCTCTTCAGGGCGCCCAAACCTTTGCAGAAGCAATTATTTTGTTTTCTGTTATTTTGAAAGTGTAAATGGTAGAAATAAAATCTTTTTTTTTTTACACATTATAAGAATGTCTCCTCTGTAATTTGATGATTTTGTAGATTTTTCCAGCTTTCCTTGGGTTAAAACCTTTGAGATTTACATCGTGAACAATCCATGACACTGCCAGGTCTCAGCTCTTCAGGGCGCCCAAACCTTTGCAGAAGCAATTATTTTGTTTTCTGTTATTTTGAAAGTGTAAATGGTAGAAATAAAATCTTTTTTTTTTTACATATTATAAGAATGTCTCCTCTGTAATTTGATGATCTATCCATCCATCCATCCATCCATCCGTCCGTCTATCTATCTAAAACTCCACATTTTCATCTCTTCTACAGGTAACCTTGGCTCTAAGTTAGTGGAGTATAAGGAGGAGATGTACGTCACGTCAGACTGTGGGAAGACATGGAGACAGGTATACTTTCTCCCGTTCTCCCTAAACGCCTGTCCTTCTCCTGCAATCCCATAACAGACATTTGTACCAAGACAGCGCTTGTCTTCAGATGTATTTTCTTTGACTGAGCAGCACACTCTTTTTAATGTTTTTCTCCAAGGTGTTCGAAGAGGAGCATCACATCCTGTATCTGGACCACGGCGGTGTTATTGTTGCCATTAAGGATACATCTATCCCTCTGAAGATCCTCAAGTAAGAACCCTTACAAAACACGATAGGCATCATAACACAAACTTTAATTATTGTCTTTATATTAATACATGCTGTACTTCATATATATAATACAGTATGACTATTATCTTGCTGCAGTCGACCTCAATCTCCCCTAAACACACTTGAACGCCATCACGCTCAGAGCCTAAATGCCTACAGTCGATGCACATTTCACTGGTGTTTTTCCTTCACTTTACTTTAAAGCACAAGCATAGCTACGCATAATCAACTGCAGAAGACATTTTTGTCAATATGAAAACACAACAATGTAGTGTTAGCCAATCAGAACTCAGAGCAGCATCAAGGAATCTTAGCCTCTGATAAGCATTATTTAAAACCCTTTTTATTTACACTCTAACTACCTGAGGTAGTATTTGCAGTAATGGAAAAAGAATCAAAACAGAAGCAGGCAGGTTGGAACGAATAAGGACGAGTTACTTACTGCAAGAAGAATAGCAGCAAATTGAAAAGGTTAGGTTAATCAGACAGTAGTGAGACCTGCTATGGTGTATGGTTTAGAGACAGTGGCTCTGTCTTGTATCTAAAATGTTGAGTTGGAGGTGGAGGTGATGAAGATGCTGAAATTTTCACTCGCAGTGACCAGGATGGACAAGAGTAGAAATGAGCAGATCAAAGCGTATTTGTGGATATTCTCAGTCATCCAGGTCATCATAATAATGTCAAAAGCAGTTTTAAAGTATGCAACTGAAGTAAATTGAAGACATTTCGCCTCTCATCCAAGAGGCTTCATCAGTTCTTCTTTTCTGGTAGGGAGTTTATCCACCCCAAAGGGGGGTGTAGTGTCAAGTAAAGTGGTCATGGGCCCGAACAATATGAGCGTTAAGTCATGTGAGTCGTTGGCCCTATGGTGGATTGTTCCCCATCCTCTCTCCTTATAAGAAAAACCCAATGGAATTACCACCACGATCAGTCAGATCAAACTGGAGGCTATGGTGTTATACAATGCCACATCACTTTTCACCTGCATCCCCTCAGTACAAGCAGTAAAGAGAAAACTGCTGCATGATGACAACCTGTCGGAAAGGACCAACCTCTCCCCTGAACAGTTGTGTGACCTTCCTGCCCTGTGTCTCAACACCACCTATTTCCAATATAACGAAGGTTTCTACAGGCAGAAACATCACTGTGCTGTGGGATCGCCAGTATCCCCCATTTGTAGCTATTTTTTTATACTCTGCCCTTCAAAACAATCCTACACACACACAAACACACACATGTGGTGAAACACTTGTGTACACCTGTGCGGACAGTTTAAATCCCAATGAGATGTTATCGTCTTAGTCTAAAAATAATTTAAATAATGATGGCGGTTAGATAAGGCAGTGCTCGGAAAGAAAACACTTATCAAAGAGCTAAATCAAATCATGTTTTTGAATGGCTGCCGTTTTTGTCTCGCAGCAGGCATCGGCGGACCATCGTCCTTCACGTCTCATCTCTCACGATCGCATGAATCATTGATCTTCAGAACTTTAACTTTGTTGTGAAAGGAGAGATCTTCCAGAACAGTCAGGGGGAGTGTTATGTAATGGAATTTAGCCGCTGAGATTTCCTGCATCCCAAACTCTGCACGCGCTTGTTTCTAAAATTGGAAACTTTTCTCACTCCTGACTATCTTAACCCCCCCGCCCCACCACAACAATTCCCGGGAAACTTTTCTCACTCCTGACTATCTTGACCCCCCCAACAATTCCCACCCCCGCCCCACCACAACAATTCCCGTTCCTGACTGTTCCATTATTAGGGAACCCGCTTGCGTCACAAGCAACACTTTTCAGCAATGCCTTCTTCTCAAGCCAAGACGCTAATGACAGCACAGAAATACCTCCAGTATTTTTGCAAATTGGTGCAATTACAAGTTCAGTGAACATCTCTCTTCAGCTGGCTCTCTGTCCTCGTCTTTTGTTGAACAACAGCTGTATGGTTGCCCCGGCGTTGTGCTACAGCACACCACACATTTTTATCTGCGGTTTTTACAGTGTCCACATCTTTAAGCATCATTTTGTGGTCTCTCTCTCTAAAGTTTGAGGAGCTCACATGAGAAGCAGGAACACTTTTAGAGTCATTGTTAGCATGTTTTGCTCAAAATCCACAATTTTTTTTTTTTCAAAATGCCCCACATACCTCACTCTGATTGGTTAGTGAGTCATCACAAAGGACTCTCTTGTATCTTAGATTTCACTCTCTCCATGTATTGCACCAACAGGAGGCTTTCTATTGGGCAATGTGCTCGATGAAGTGATTGAAGAATCAACATAGAAGTAAAATGAATACGGTAGAAGACACGCAATTCTTGCTAGCTATCTCCACAAGAAAACATCTGCCCCTACTGGGCCAAAATTATAGAGCTTAAAAAGCACTGATTAATTAAAACATTTTACTACACAGAAATTAACAGTATTTGGTACGTTACAACCGGCCCTTCAAGGGGAACCCTCCCACCCCACCCCCCAGGTGAAAATGAGTTTGACGCCCCCTGCTGTATACTGTACGTTTAAGGACTTGTCTGCTATTTGTCTAGTGATTTTTTTGGCGGGGGATTCTGGATTTCTTAAGAAAAAAGTGAGATCTCCAGGTCACAACCCCATTAGGAAAAATCTAGATTATCTGTAGTTTGCAATGATCAAGAAAATTCTGAATAATCTTACAGCTTTTGCTGTTGATGAAACTGACTTAATGCAAATATTAGTGGGTAAATATTATATTGTAGAATGTAATGACGAAAGTAATTGGTTAGGTGCTAAGCTAGCAGCCATGTTCTATATGTACTATTGTAAAAGTTAATTAAAAAATAGAAATAGAAAGTTCTTTTTTAAAACAAAACTCTCCGACAGCCAAATTAAACCCCTGCCAAGGACTTTGCGGTTGAATCAATCTTCAGAGGTGCTTTTTTTGTTTGTTTTTTTACCCCAACTGTGTTTTTCATGTATCTACTTGTTTACCTGCTCATTATCACACTGTAGTCCTTGTTAACACATCATTATCACACGCAGCCTGCAGCGAGAGCTGGGCACTGCTCGATTCCACATCGATTCCTCTCCTCACAGCCGTATTTACTCAGCACGGCTGAATCCAAACACCTCAGAGGGAGCACAGTCTCTGAGTCTTTGTCTGTTCCGGTGGTCAACACAAACACATTTGAATACATATAAATATACATATTCTATGTTTTTCTCATTTGTTTGTTACTTTTCTGTTGAGTCCTGTGTGTGTTGTTTTTGCGTCATCAGTTTAAAATGATAAAAAGCAAAAAAGATCCAGCTTCCTTTATTTGACATTGTGTTCTACTTAGTTAATGCACTGGTTCCCAAAGTGGGGGGCGGGCCCCCTAGGGAGTATGGAGCAGTTGGTATATAAACAATTGGTATATTACAATATACATAATTCGTCAATGACATAATAAATGATGTTATTAATAAAAATGTATACACTTTTAACAGTATAATTACACAGTATATCTTCAATTACTTTAATTGTTTTAAAGTGCATTTTCTTTTTGCACTTTTACTTTTTTAAATTTTTTAATACACTTGATATGTGATAGGTTTAAGAATGCAACAAAAAGGTTTTTGCAGTCAAATTTTTTATCTCACACTCCCTCTTCATCTGCAGGTTCAGCATTGATGAAGGACACACGTGGACCGTCCACAACTTCACCAGCACCTCCGTGTTTGTCGATGGACTCTTGAGTGAGCCGGGAGACGAAACCCTGGTCATGACGTGAGTGACATCTAAGTTTAACTTTCAATGGAATATGACAAGCTGGGCATAAGTGTACCACTGATGTAATGCTTGATGGTGATAACAAGCCTCCAGTCACTAGGTGGCAGCAACTCATACAGTGGTTTGTACAGATAAAAATATACATGTTATCAGGTTCTCAATAGTATTTAAATTCACCAGGGTGTGGGTCGGGGGCCGGGGGAGGACGTGAAAACATTTCTGTCTCCAATGGGGGGGGGCATGACAGAAAATAATTGAGAACCACTGTGCTAATCAAATGCCTGAAGCTAATGCTGTTTGGTGGCCTTGGCATGGTAAAGCTCAGGAACCTCTGGTTTAACCATACTCAACAATTCTGCCTTTACAGCAGAAAACTAGTTCTGTTGTGCTTAAGTAAATTATGTTGTAAACCAGGATTCCACATTGGCTAAACGTCACTCTGTCTGTTGTCTGTACCAGCTTTTTAACAGAGATCCTAACAGTAGCCTAAGTTGCAATTAGCTGTACTGAAAGACACTGACATTTCAAATTGTTGTAAACAGTAGTACATTTGAACGCACATTTCAAATTGTTGTAAACAGTAGTATATTTGAACGCCAAGACAAAAACTCTTTCATTTAAACAAGTAGTTTCCCAACTTGTTCTGCAGCGCCCCCCTTTGGTTGGTAGGACTACTGTTGAGCCCCGCCCTCAGCTATTGCCTCAAAACTTTAATTCGTACAAAACTGTTATGTTTAATAAACACAAACCCACTGCTGCACCAATAAAAATAAATACATTTATTTACCTTGCTGTGCCTCTCCCAGAATAGCTTTGTGTCCCCAAAAGGGACCCCTGTCTCATTTTGGGAACCACCGTTTTGAGCAAAGAGTTTGGGTCAAAAGGGGAAAGTGTTACATAGTGGAGGTTTTTTCAAGTGCCTGGATGACACCTTGAGGTAGGAATCAAAGTCTTCAGTTAAACCAAGGTTTTTTTTTTCTCTGAGTGCTCCTTGAGAGCCACTCATAGCGGCCTCGTCCAAACACTGCACTGGAGACAGCTCAGATTTTCTTCCAGTCTGGATGTGAAGGGACTGAGGGGCAGCTTTGTGCTGCCTAGCTCACTCTCGAGTTCCTGCAGAATCCACATTGTTCTTTACCTCCATAGATCTTATTGCCCGCACAGCAGAGGCTGATGGGAGTGCAGGCCGATTCTTGCCCTCTGCCCTTGCTCCCTGCCTTCCTCCTGTCTGACATTTTATTACTTGGTCCTGCTTTGTATTTGTGCTCTGTGACTCCCACTGCAAGTCATTGTTTCTTTTTCCAAAACAAAGACATCAAGCACTTTTAATTGACTGCTGGTCCCTGACTGTTTACATGCAATGCCAACTTAAGGCCGCAGGATAAATACAGGACAATAACAAAGAATAAAAGAACCAAACATCAGTTACTAACTATATAAGGAATATAAAACTGGCTCGCAAAGATACACTATGTCTATTAATATGAATATAAAGTTTACAGTAATACCTAGAAATACGAGCGTCTCGACATACGAGTATTCCGGGATACTAGTAAGCCTTCGAGCAAATTTTTGCTTTGAGATAAGGGTAAAGATTTGCACGCTTACAGACACCGACGGCATTCGTGTTCGTCGACTTCCGTACGCATCTCTCACAAGTCTTCCGTTTTGTGTTTGCGTTATCTACGTGATTTTCTCTCTATTTTGTCCATTTCTCTTTATAATAGTGATGATTCCTAAGAGAGTGAGTGGTAAGGATGGTGGTGAGAAGAAAAAACACACGATTACCATGGAAATAAAGCATGAAATTGTCGATAAATATAAGAGTGGTGCCCAATAAAGAAACGTAAGTTAAGTTAATTTTAACTTTTAACTATTTAATTTACGTAGTGTACGTGTAAGGTACACTACGGAATCGAGTGTCTACGTACTCTCTCAACTCTCTTCCTTGTATTGTACTGTATTTTGAGGTGGGTGAACATGCAGTTAAACTAATGAAACCTAAAAGATTCAGAAGTAATGCAATGTTTGGATTTAGGTTTTCATATTTGGTTTTCAGCTTGTGCATGCAAATACATTTTGAAAACTTTGTCCAAATACTGATAAAAGGAAATTGTAGGGGCTAGGTTTTTGGTATTTACTAGAGATGGCTCGATACAACCTCATGTCTGTCATGTCTGATACTGAAACGGCAACTATTATTTACATGCATTTCGAGTGTTTCGAAACTCAATATGAAGATTGCTAATTTGCATATCAGTGCCATGCAATATTTTAAAAATAATACTTTTAAAATATGCAGGAGATATTTCACAATCCTAATGTAAACTCAACATTGAGAGCTTCTCCTTGGATCACTTGTGCCAGTGTTGCAGTAAAATTCAGCCATACAGTAACACAGTCCTTGTCATTACTATCTGCACTGTTACTGATCGTTATTTACATGGGAAAATACCATACAGGATGCAAACTGCTTAACGACTTCTTAACTGTCTAATAGCTGTTGATGCGTCCGTGTCTTTTAACATTAAAGTCACTGCTACTATATGTGCATTTACCTTGACGTTAACTGCAGCTAATGGCAGGTTGACCTTTTATTGCCACTATTTTTCTGCTCCTTGTTGAGTGGCTTTCCTTAGGAAAGGTTTAGCTAATGTGCAGGTTAAAACTACACACTTTGTTAAGGTCGTAATCAAAGCCAAACCATGCTTATCAATAGTACACATCCCCGACTACCCTCGTCTCCTGTCTCCCTCTCTCCTCACTTGATGTCTCTATTGCAAAGTCGGTTGCAGTAACTCTGGTCACACCTCAGACTGCAGGCCAGGCCTTGACCAACAGATAAGGACAGCCTCCAGCTGTAAACCTCTGGGGAAAGGCATGCTGATAGTCACGCTTTCTATATACATTAGCCTTCCTTTTGGAAACACTACCTTAGGACATTTAGTCAAATACCATTCAGATATTCTCTGTAAGGTCTTTTTGACCACAGAAGCTTACAAACGAGGCACACCTAGTGATCTGTCTGTCTACCTGTCTCTCCCCTTCCACTCTCACAACTTTTCCCTATTTCCACATACATTGTCCATCAGTAAGTTTCCTCCATGCATGAACTCTGCCTCTGTCAGAATACACTCTACTGTAAATAGATAAACCCGCTCACACAGACTCGCACATGCACACATTGTCCACCTGGCTCCAGTGTGGTGGGGTCAGCAGATAAGGAGGTCCATTGAAGGCGACCCATGTCTAACACATTAGCTGTGGTCCTCTTCCTTGTCGTTGAGTTTCGATTCTGACAGCTCAGCCCGCCATCCCATAATGAAGCCATCGAGCAGTGACGGCCCGCCACTCGTCCTTAAGACATCTGCTCACACACCAGACGGCAGACAGACTCTGCATAGGCTGGTGTTGAGCACGCTCGCTGTGTGACATCATCGCACCCAGATCATTGCGCTGCACTGACAAACCATTTCCTTCCCTCTCACACTCTGACAACAACAAACACAATTTTCCTCAGAGGAATAATTGTATGTTACCGGGAAAGGAACTTGCAAACAAGTTCTCGGCGATGTTTTGCCTTCCTTTGTTCTATGGTTTTAATGAGCCAGATTCAAAGAAACAAATTTCCTCTGTTAGTGAGTGTTGATTTCTTTTCATCCAGCTGATTGGACCGTTGTTTGTCCTCTAATGGAGCTCTTGTGGCTCTGGAGTGGCTATTCAAAATTAGAAAGTCTGCTGAATTAGCTCGCAGACTGAGACTGAAGCAAAGACAGCAACGGTGATTTTTCCACTTCACACCGTGACACGTAACGTGTCAACAATGACACGTTTATGTGTCTTTGACATCTCACCACCTGATTGGTTCAATCAAATCTGTTTATGACATGTTTTTTTAATATCTAAAGTACATTGAGCAGTATGTAACAAATCAAATCTGTTTATGACATGTTTTTTTTAAAATATCTATAGTACATTGAGCAGTATGTAACATACTGTGAGTATCTTTAATTCACAGTATAATAAAATGGTAATATTGCAACCGTTCATGTTATTATTGTTTGAATCCTATATTCAATAGAAAATAATGTTCGCTTTTTTCCTCTGGTGACTCATGAGCCTTGAATCATTCATATTTAACAGAAGGCTCAAAATACACTAGGTTCTCTCGAGGTTTTCTTTATTCAATGGCCAGTCCAGTGTTACTGTACTCGTGTCAGTACTTTTTAACTTTAAGGGCTTCACTGTGAGTAACTATGTAAAAACATGCTGCAGCGTAATTCGGTAAAATACGTTTTGATATATATTGGCATTTAATGTATAAAACTGAACAAACAAGACATCATCCCAGAGATCCAAATAGACAAGAAAACAACAAAGAAGACTGGGAGTTGGATTGAGAGACATCTGTCTCCTTCCTGCAGCGACACCGTTGAAGACCACATTATTCACACTTCCCCTGCAGTACCACGAGACAAACGCTGTCTACCAACCACTCAGAAACATATGTCAGAATCACTGTTGCCGTCAACATCAGTCTGCTTCAAAAATTGCTGCGACTGATGAGGGACAGGTGCAGGGATGAGGAGTCGTTGCACTGTAAAAGGTTTCCATCTAGTGGATGTTAGGCAGAAGGCCGTTTCTATAAGCATCTAGGATTTTTTATGAATGCGTTTATATCCATTCATCCTTTTATTTTTATCATGTGCACAGCCCCACATATTCATAGAGACCCTGTAAAGGTACTCCATTCTTGGAAAGAGTAATATTTTATTTATCCGGCATTTAGCCAGTGCAACGACACCACTGTCAGGGACCTGATATTAAAAATAGAATTGCTTCAATGACGTGCGGTCAGTGGAGACAGGTGAGGCAGTCTTGACAAGTAAAATACTAGCAATGGTGAAGGAAAATCATTTTTCCAATTGACTGTTCTATTCATATGTTTTCTGTATAATTTTAACAAAATCTGTGAATTTACGCATTTCCTGTTCAAATACATGGCAGAAAGGTGAGGTTTGACGGCGCTGTGCTGAACACACTGACTGAAGAAGGCAGTTGCTGCATGCCCATTGCTGTCTCTCTGTACATCGCCAATATACTTCCATCCATCCATCCATCATCGTCCGCTTATCCGAGGCCGGGTCACGGGGGCAACAGTCTGAGCAGGGACAACCAGACTTCCCTCTCCCTCGACACTTCCTCCAGCTCTTCTGGGGGGACCCCAAGGCGCTCCCAGGCCAGCTGAGTGGTAAATCGAGAGCTTTGCCTTTCGGCTCATCTCCTTCTTCACCACAACGGACCCATACAGGGACCGCATTACTGCGGCTGCTGCACCGATCCGCCTGTCCATCTCACGTTCCATCCTACCATCACCCATGAACAAGACCCCAAGATACTTAAACTCCTCCACCTGAGGCAGGATTTCCTCCCCAACCCAGAGGGTGCAAACCACCTTTTTCCGGTCGAGAACCATGGCCTCGGACTTAGAGGTGCTAATTCTCATCCCAGCGGCTTTACTATCGGCCGGATTCTCCTTTCCAGTACCCTGGAATAGACTTTTCCCGGGAGGCTGAAGAGTGTGATCCCCCGATAGTTGGAACACACCCTCCAGACCCCTTTTTTGAAAAACGTCTGCAAGTCCAGGGCTATTGTCCCGGACTGCCACGCGATGCTGTAGAGACGTGTCAACCAAGACAGCCCCACAACATCCAGAGACTTGAGTACTCAGGGCTGATCTCATCCACCCCCGGCGCCTTTCCACCGAACAGCTTCTTGACTACCTCGGTGACCTCAGCGCAGGAGGTGACATTCCATGTCCCCATAGCCAGAGTAGTTGTCCAGGGATTGGGCCTGTTCGCAACTAGGGGCGTTCAAATACCATCGGGAATCTGAAAAATCCGACGTTTGAGGCACTGAATCACAGTGTTTGGAGCAGGGCTGTTTTGAATGGATTAAAAAGGTGCTGTGATGCTTAATTCTGGGTGTATTTTGACCAAAGCATGTTACAGACAACAAGGGACTGATTTAATGAACAGAAAAGGGGCATTAATACGTAAATGATTCATCCTATTTAATAATTTCTTTCATCATTTTGTTGAGTTCTGTAAAAGAGACTGAAAGACACAGATTCCAAGGCTTTTATGTATCAGGTTTTTTTAATGGTACAGAGATAAAAAGGGTATGAGTAAAAGACCAGAGAGCAAAAAGAAAAATTCTTTATTTTTGTTTAAAGACTGAAACTGAAAGTGGATTTATATATTCGAAAAATATTAAACATTTTGGGGTTTTTTTTGTTTGTTTTTTTTTTAGAAACTTTTTAAGATTGTATGTTATATACTGTATATAGCATTGACTATGACTTGATTATGTGTCTATTTTTGTATGTCCTCAGTGTGTTTGGTCACATCAGCTACAGATCGGACTGGGAGCTCGTCAAAGTGGACTTCAGGCAGTCTTTCCCCCGTCAGTGCATGGAGTCCGACTACGACACCTGGCAGCTCAGCGACCTACAGGTAACTCACAAGCACAGTAACTTGTGTACACACAAGTAACTTGTGTACACGCACATAATAATTTTCTGTAAAACCCATTCACACACGCCACATTGTGCGCTTGTAGGGAGAGAAGTGCATCATGGGACAAGAGCGCAGTTTCCGGAAGCGCAAAGAAGAATCCTTTTGCATCAAAGGGAAGAGCTACACCTCTGCACTCATCACCAAACCCTGTCAGTGCACAGAGAAAGATTTCAACTGGTGAGATGTGAAGACATTTTTTTCTTTTCTTCTTTACTTTTCTTCTACTTTTATTTTCTTCATTTCTTGAGCTAATTGAAAAGCAGGCTCACAGTAAATAATTTATATATTTAAACTAAAATGTAGTTAATATAATTAAGTTCAAAACATAGTCAAATTCAGTTGACTAAATTTCCATTTTGCAATTTGCTGACTGAAAATTAAAAAGCAACAACAACATATCCAACAGCAGATGCCAGAAATGTATCATTGTTACATATGTCAAACTGGGGGCCCATGTTCCTAATCCGTCCCAATGTATTATTTTAATGTGGACCACCAGAAAAAGTTTATGGTATAGAGCAGGGGTCACCAACCTAGTGTCAGGGGGCACCTAAGGCCCCCATGTAGTATGTTCTAAAAGTAAAATTCATCAACAAGACTAGGATTTTTGAATCAGTTATACTTGTACTGGTGTTCAAGTAGGTTCAGTTACCATGGTAGGAGTGTCTCCTACTGTATGTCCCATAACCTGACAGAGCAGCATTCATCTCTTTATTGTTATTACATGATTCAAGTATGTATCAAAGACCTCTTCGTATTTCCCAGTACTGTTAGTAACTTTAGTTTAAAGAAGGTCGGTTTATTGGATGGGTTAAATTCAGTGATCAAATTCGGTTTGTGTATAACACATGCATGGGGAGATCATTTCTCTCATTGCAATTGTAATAAACCTTCCAATTATGATAAACTACATCTCCCATAATGCACATTAATTTCATGATGTCTCCTAGCCATCTTAAAATCATTAGCATGCTTGGCCCCCGACTTAGACTTGTGTGCAATTTCAAGTTGTAGTTAAAGTAGCATCTTGGAACTTAAATACTTGATACAACAATCCTCAGGCTCTAAAGCTGATGATGGTCTGTATTAGATATATGTTTATTTATTCTATAAAATACTTTAGAAAACATTTCACCTTTGAGGCTGTTATATCAAGTATTTAAATCTTTACGATACATTTAATACAAATACAAACTAAATTAATCATTGATTTTAAAATGCAGACATTATTCAGATGCATCCGTTGGAGACGGATACAGTTCTATTTAGAAATTTAAAGGCTCCAAGTCTGTTGTCAGTTGTTGTATTACTATAATTGTATATATATTTCCAAGATTTTGTGTCAAATGACTTATGTTATGGTTTGTTTACGTGCATTATACAGTGACTACGGTTTTGAACGGTCCTACAAAGATGGCGATCGTTGCTTCGCTGACTTTTGGCATGATCCCGAGTCACCGCCTGAGGACTGTCACCTGGGACAGACTTACGAGTCCACCACTGGGTAAGGATTTTCTCACACACACATTGGTTCTATAAATTGTGAGTCCTTCACAGAGACATGTATTCCGTAATACCTTAGCGTAACCCTAGCCATTGCTAAAGCATGCCTAATCCATACCCTAACTCCGACCCAATCCCAACTCCAAACAAAATTTTAAACCTTGGAGAATACCTTCTACCTTAATCTTCAAGGCTGTCAAACTAATTTTGGTTCAAGGGCCGCATGCTGTACTACCATGTTAAGTGTGGTGGACATCAAGGGTGTCAAACTAATTTTGGTTCAAGAGCCGCATGCTGTACTACCATATTAAATGTCAAGTGTGGTGGACTAGTACAATCACACCAAAATAGATATAAACTACAAAAAGTCCATGGTTTTCCCCTTTGTTTCCATGCAAATAAGTACAGGTACAGTATATTAGATATGAATTTTTTATTTATTTTATTTGTAAAAGTGTGAATTCTGTGCAATTTTCTGCCATATGTTTGACACCCCTGGTTTATACGTATGTTGAGAAGATCCCTTGTCCTTCTGGGGACATTTCTAGATCCCCACAATAAATGTTTACGCCACACACCTACCAACACCAAAAATATGCAAAAGCCTCAAACATTTCAAACATAGCACACATAAGGCAAAATGCGTACATTTTTTTAGTACTGTAGTAACAAGTAAAAAAAAAAAAAGAAGCCACCGTGTGAGCAGTATAGTAGTAACATTTAATTAGACTTAAATGTTAAAACAATAGTAACTGTCAAAATGTTTTAAACTAAAATGCATTAAAATAAAGCTTTTATGGATGAAAAATTGCTTATCAATAGGAAATCCATTTATAATTCCTAAATTAAGCTAAAATAATAGATGCCTGCAGCATGCCTCAGGAGAAAATAAGGTATCTGATTGATATTGGTTTAAAGATAAAACATTTTCCTGGATTTTTGGTCGTAGCTTGTTTTTACAGAAGGACAGTGAGTCCTAAGGTTTACAGAGCATGTAGCCCTTTTTAGTCTAGTTCTTTTTGGTTCTGTTTGACCACATTGTAAGTACAAGCTCAGAGTTCTTTTTGTAACCTTGTTTGATTCATTCCCATTCAAGTTCCCAATGTAATGTCTCAGCAAGAATGTCTCTCACCTTCTGATATCTGTCTTCCTCTTTCTCAGCTACAGGAAGGTAATATCCAATGTTTGTGAAGGTGGGCTAAACAGGCAGCAGAATGCCGTACAGCACAACTGCCCTCTGCTGCCCCCTAAAGGACTACGAGTTGGCATCAAAGGGCAGATGCTGGCAGTGGCACCCGGTGATGACATCACATTTATTGTACATCAGGAACAGGTAGTGAAGGATGATAAACACTGTTCTGTTGGTTCTTTTTTTTTTGTCTTCATCCAATGTGAAATACTACAAGTCATCATTCTTGTCCCTCAGGGTGACACCAGCAGTACAAAGTACCAGGTGGATCTTGGGGATGGTGTTCGGGCCATTTACCAAAACCTGACAGTGACAGATGAACCTATCCAACATCGATATGAAAAACCCGGCATTTACAAGGTCACGGTGAAGGCTGAGAACATGGCTGGGCACGACGAGGCCACCATGTACATCCAAGTCACAGGTTAGCCTCGCAAAATATATCACTGTTAAATATATTTGTTTTAATTAAAGAAATGAATAAGACATTTTTCTACTAGGTAGGAATATATATAAATAAATATATGAAAGCTCTGTGCTAAATTAACAACATCCATTTCTTCCTTCACAGCTCCTCTGCAGGAAGTTCATCTGGAAGTGGTTCCAATCGCTGGGAGAAATACCCAGGTCAATTTGTCCGCTGTGGTCCTTCCCTCAGAAGCTAATTTTACAGTCTTTTACTGGTGGATAGGAGACAAACTCACGGTAAAGGAGACACTTTGTTACTGATAAAAATAACAACAACAAAAATATATATATATAAAGTATATAAATATAGTTTATATATTAGAAAAGTTATTTTTACATACATTTTTCTCATTCTTAAAGATAATTTAAAGAATAAAAAAGACAATAGATGAACATGTCAATATGAAGATATCCCGAGGGTAAAATTAATAAAGTGAAAGTTGTATCTATTTGCGGCCAAATAAAAAGGGTGTGCGGGCCAGAATTGTGCCCTGACCCATGAGTTTGACTACCCTGCTGTGAAGGAATAGTCTAGGGTGTAAAGAAAAACAGATGGAATTTGATTCAGCTGTCTTCACCAATTGAAAGCCTACTATGTAACAGTAGAGTGAAAATAAATATTAAATTTACTTTTTATATACTTATAATCAGTACACTAACTTGATGTTGTTTAATATTGCACAGTATGATTTTGTATTTATTTAAATTGAATATTGTAAAAGATATTATTTTCCACAGTCTGTAGTCAGAGAACATATGTGAGGCTACAAAGATCCATTCTCCTGATTTTTGATTTTTATGTTTTTTTTCTCACACAGCCAACGCTGACTCTGCAGAGTAGCCTCCTGACTCATTTCTCTGAAACTGGAGAAGTTTCTGTCACTGTCCAAGCTTCCAACGGCCGAACCATGGTGCAGGATACTAGAACCGTCCAAGTCTATGGTAAAACAAACAAAGAAATAAAAACAAACATTGTTGTCATTTTCGCCTTTTGGCAAAGTCATCCATTAAATATATATGAATAAATATGTATAAATATATATTTTTTAATTGAATACTTTAACTGCCTAATTATTATTTATTAATTTTAGAACATTGCTTGCTTTGACTTGTGTTTTTCCCTATCCCAGATAACTTCCAGGTCATCCCTTTGAGCTTTAGCAAGAATCTGGACCACTTTAACCCCAACATCCCAGAGTGGCGGAAAGACATTGGCCAAGTGGTGACCAAAGCTCTCACTAAGGTAGGACCACAAATTAAAACACCACCATTTAAAGAAACATTTTAATATGAGTTTTCCAAGGGAGATAGATCTGTTTCTATGGTAGGAATATTTGTTGTTATTTGCAGCCAATTGTGACGTAGGATTTTACCCTTGCTTTTTCATAATGGTAAAGGTAATTTGTTTTATTTTGTTTATATACTTATACAAATAGATACATTTTTTATGTAATCAAAGGCAGTGAGCTATCACAATTAATCACAAATAATCATGATTAATTGGAATTAATTATGAGTTCTCAGGATTCATGATTAATTGGAATTAATTATGAGTCCTCAGGATAAACAAAGTATTCCAAAATATTGTTGGAACTGAAAGTCAAATAACTTTTTTTTTTTTGCTTATTTGACCTGCTGGTATTTGTCTGCCATTGCAGCAATGTACAGAATTCTTTTGACATATTCATTAATTTATCTAGAATAATCTTGCTTATAATGGTTTTGATCAATCATGATAATTATGATTAGTCCAGAGCCAACCTGCAATTAATCAGATAAAATGTTTTAATTTGACAGCCCGACCTAGAACAAATCCTCAGTGTGTCTAAATGTTACATTTAAAATAAGGAAACATTTGAAAAAATGAATAACTTTTAAGGAAGTCCAAGGACATGACTGACCGGACATTGTCCGACTCCAGATCACAGGTGTCCCTCAAGAGGCTCTGGTGACTGTTGTGAAGCCGGGCCTCCCTACCACTGCTGATCTGTATGTCCTGCCCCAGGACGGTCAACCAGCCAAGAAGAACATGTACGCAGATAAGGTAGAGATTTTTCAATGTCAACTTTTAAATGTTGGAAATTCAAAACTTCAGTTTTTTTTTGTTGTTGTTTTTTTTTTACTATGAAGTGGAAACTCTATCTATTCACAGCGGATATTAGCCATCATGCAGACCTTCACTGACCACAACATCAGCTTTGTGGTACGGGGCGGTCTTCAGGTGCACGTCATGCTAGCTGATCCAAATGCAGGTATGACTCCTGTTGAGAAAAAAAAATGCGACATCCAATACATTTATTTTGTTCTTTTATAATTTCATAATTGCACGTTATTGGTTCATTCCCAAGGGCTAGATCTATTTTCTACTGACACGTCGACTACAGCGTCAGAGACTGGTGCGTTTAAAACCGTATAAACCAAACACGTGCCGCTTTAAAACTTAGACCACTCCTTCTGCCAAGTCTTCCACTTTTCTGGGTTCCTAACAAAATCTGGCTCCTATTCAGTCTGAATTTGTGTGTGTGGTGCTGTGTTTTCCAACCCTACTAGCTCTCCTTTTCTGAACCTGAACTGCTTATACACCAGAGCAAGACAAGCTTTAACTCAGTTGGACGTTTGGCTCGCTTTTTCTAATATTCTTTGTTGATTTGCACTGATTTATTCCATTTGTCTTTGATGTAAAAACTTTTGTTGAATTCCCAAAAATCTGAGGTTTTTCATGTGGTTCATCAATCTAGGCTACCACGGAGCAGCTGGAGGTCCTGGGATTTGGGCTCTAGCAATCCTTTTCTTGATCAGCGTCATCGCTATTGGCTCCTTCATCTTGTACAAGTTCAAAAGGTGATTCAAAAGTCTGTTGTTTGACAGTTGAACCAGAGAGTCAGGAGTCACACACATACACATATATGTATATATATATATATATATATATATATATATATGAAAATATACATACGTATATCTATACACATATTGACACAAAAAATAGCTTCTGCTAAAGTGGATGTGTTAAATTTCGGCTATTATATTTTTGTTCATATTTGTGAAATAAGGCTATCTTGATGACTTAAATAAATTTGTATTTTATTAAATGTGTGTATGCATGCTGTCCGTCTGCCTCACACGATCGTCGTACTGCAGCACACTGTTGCGTCTTGAACACCCTCCTCCACTAAAACAAAAACAGTCACCTTGATGAAAAATGTGCGGCCGTCTATGACCCCATTCTTACAAAAAACAACAAATGCCACAGTCCTTGGCTTAGGACTGAGGACGCCTATCCTCCACTGTTTTTTAGGAAGCTGCCAGGCAACCGCAACGTCTATGCTCAGATGCACAACGAGAAGGAGCAGGAGATGACGAGCCCCGTCAACCACAGCGAGGACACGCAGCACATCATCCAGGGTGAGGAGTTCATCGACGACGACCTGGACTCCCAGACTCTAGGTAACACTGGAGGTAGCCCCGCCTTCCGCTCCCTAATAAGGACTACCACTAACCACTGCTACTAAAACCAAGAGCCACTAACACCAGCAGCTAACACACACCAAGGTACTGGATGACTTCCACCTTTTTTTAATTCTTTTCAGTGGTTTCAAACAAAGTCTCGAGGTCGTAGACCATGTGTTGGAAATGGACCTTTGTTGTTGGGCAGTTTTCAAAAATCTCTAGACTAAGCATCTACTGATTCTATTATTCATCTAGAATCAAACTTTGGAATATTTAAGTAACTTGGTCCCCAGTGACTAATTGTGAGGTTTTACATTTCTCGACCTGAGGGTTGAGGGTCTGTTTCTAATGCAGTGGTTTGTGTCTTTGAAACAAACATTCAAATATTGCCACAGAACATGGCTTGTATTTTCAAATGTTCCAAATGCAAAGCTTTTCCATATTGTACAAAAACATGGCACATGGTTTTACAGCAACATAATAATATTTTTTAAATATCTATTTATTTTCTTAAAACTGAAATAAAACTTGAAAGTTAATCAATTCCATTCTTTGGAGAGGCTGAAAAATATCCCCCAGAATTAAACAGAAAAGGGAGAATGATATACATTTTTACATTTGTAAATCTTTACATTTTACATTTGTACAATACAGTAAGTCATTTTGAGGTTTTCAGAAAAAAACGTATATATTGCAATTTTTTTTCTGTTTTTGTTTTGTCTTCTCCCTGTCAACAGGCAACCATTCGGGTGTGGTCCTGAGCATTAACTCCAGAGAACTGCACAGTTACCTAACGAGCTGATGGCTGCCATGGCAACGCTAAAAACTAACCTAGCCTAGCTGGCTAATGAGCACAGGGACTCCACTTTGCCTTCTTCCTGCCCTCTCCTCTATGTCTTTCGACACTCCGACCCTTGGAGTGGCTGAAGCCTCATACAGGGATATCTCCTCCCCCACCTCCCTCTGTTTCCTCCCATTCTCTTGGTATGATGAGAGACACTCTGCTTCACATGTTGTGTTTGACGTCACTGTTCTTACTCAGCCATGGCACCGTTCTGTCCTCTGTTGGTTTGTTCGACTCTGTGTGCATATTTGTACCTTAAGTTGTAGCCACTTGTAAGTCTTTGCTGTATTTGTTCACATTCAGAGTTACAGCACACTGTAATGGGCTAACACCAGTGTGCTAATCTGATCTGTGAGTGACAAAACGATTAGCCCCACTTTGATTTAGAATGCGGTAGCACACCAAAGTTACAGTGGCAAGAAAGGTGGCAGATATTAGAGCAGACTAACAGCTTCCTGTTAGCTAAACAGGCTATTTTTTTCGTATATGTACGAAAAGGAAGCTGTTAACATACTGGGATGTACCACTGAAAATAATTGTTGATTGAAGTTTCAACAGTAGAGGGCGTGTTGCACTCTGTTGAAACCGCTCTGGCTCGTATTTTGTCTTCAGCATCTCATTAACGTTCAACGCTGATATTGACTCACAATTGTACGGTGTGTTATTTAAACTTAGCAGCGCCCCCTGTCGTCTGTCCCGTGGTGCCTGAGGTGACTGTTCCATCTGCTTATTTCTTATGTTCACCTGCTCCTTTTCCTCAGTTTCCATTCCACAGATTTTCAGTCAGACCACAGAAACTTCACGTCTCTGTTTCCCTGGAGACAAGTCATCATCGTTGAGGGAAGGTGTACTCAAGATATATATAAAAATATATATATATAGTAAAAGCCTATATTAGGCGTAGCCCCGTGGTGGATTAATGTCTCTGTAAAGGTTTCAGTTTGTTGTATGTAAATGTGTAAATATGAACCAGTTTGTGTAAATATATTCCCTTTGATCTGAATGTGTGTGATGACCAAGATACACGCCGGTTGTTTTTTTGTTTTGTTTTTTGTCCACTGTGACCACTTCTTTCCCGTCCCCTCGACACCACTGCCTGCTTCATGTTTTTCCACCTTTGTATATTTTCAGTGTAACCTGATGAGTAAAATAACTTATGAAAATACTTGAGTTACAAAAAAAGTACTCACAACCACCCTGGTGACAACAATGTATATTGATATTTTTGATACACACGTCTTTTTTTCTCAGTAGATGTGAAGAAGTGTGTTGGTTTTTTTTTTTTTATTTGTTTGTTTGCACTAATTCTACAAGCAGAGCTGTAAACAGATGCCTAGCTGCATCTGAACAAGTCGAATCTGATGCAAAAGCTTCGGAATGAAAGGCTTCTACAGACTACTGATAGTCGCAACGTCACCGCCACACTTTGGCTTTTTTTTTTTTTAATATTTGATGCAGCTGATTACATTTTCTTATGCTCATCTACACATTAATTCATCATTTGTACATATTCAGCTCATGATGGAGTTCTTTGTTTTTTCAGTGATGTGTCGTCATTGTATCAATGTCCTCTTAAAAAGGGGAATTCAAGTGGGAATAAGGATATTAGAGGACAGCAGTGACTGAGTTTTGCAGACGATTGCACTGAAATGATAGTGTATTTTTGACAACACTGTTTTTTTTCTGCTTTTTTTTTTATTAACCATGATTATGCAGTTAAAAAAAAAAAAAGAATTGTGTCAACAGACGTGCACTCAAACTGCATCCTGGAATAAATCACTCCCAAAAATTGTCCTTGTCCGCCTACTTTAATCACAGAAGTAAAAAATTCACTGTGTTTGCATTTTCTTACAAAGCTGCCACTTCACCAAAAGACTTATATTGTATTAGCCATACAAAGTACTGGTATTTCCAGAAAACAAAAGACAGAACAAGTGATTCGTTCAAAATGAATACATCTTTCATATGACTCGTGACTCCCGAGTCATATGAAAGATTTGTTCATATTGAACTCACGAATCACTCACTGCGAACAAATCACTTTCTGCGAACTAAACTTTCACTGTGAACTAATCTTTCACTACGAAGGAATTACTCTCTGCAAACTAATCGTTGACTGTGAACTAATCTTTCATTGCAAACGAATCACGCTCTGTGAACTAATCTTTCGCTGTGAACTAATGTTTCGCTATGAACGAATCACTCTCTGTGAACTAATCTTTCGCTGCGAACTAATCTTTCGCTGTGAACGAATCACTCTCTGTGAACTAATCTTTCGCTGCGAACTAATCTTTCGCTGTGAACGAATCACTCTCTGTGAACTAATCTTTCGCTGCGAACTAATCTTTCGCTGTGAACGAATCACTCTCTGTGAACTAATCTTTCGCTGCGAACTAATCTTTCGCTGTGAACGAATCACTCTCTGTGAACTAATCTTTCGCTGCGAACTAATCTTTCGCTGTGAACGAATCACTCTCTGTGAACTAATCTTTCGCTGCGAACTAATCTTTCGCTGTGAACGAATCACTCTCTGTGAACTAATCTTTCGCTTCGTTCTCTCAGATTCGTTTCGTTTGCCACGTGACAGAGAGCGTGGGTCTCTTTTGTTCTCATTCATCTTCACATCGTGGTGTGTTTTTATTTCTTAGCTTTGTGTTGAAATAATTTCAGAAATACTCTCCCTCACTTCCCCTGTCCCTCGTGTTCTCCGACCTTGAACAGTCGTGAAAGTGGAAGTATTTCGAATCTTTTTTCTTTTCGGACTCCATTTTGACAGCGCAGAACAAAGACAGGACAGAGGTGAGTTTTCAGTGAATTCAGATCCAATATGACAGAGCAGACCATCGTGTCACCGTCAAAGTATAAAAGTGTTGATGTTTTTTATTCCGTAAATATTCAGCAGTCAGTCTTTCTATCCGTGTTTTCCTCTCGACGTGGGTTGATCTCACACACACACTGCACATCATTCCATTTCCCACAGAGCTTTTCCACCAAAATGATATTATGACAACCATAATAATAATAATTATTACTAAAACTGTTATTGTTGTCATTGTTATTAGTATTATAAAATGTATAATGAGGAAATGTCATCAAGCAAAGGCCCTTCCCCCCTCTTTTATCAAGGGGTAATTGTCTCTCTGTAACTCATTGTTGAATGTTGTTCAAAACTATGTGATAAATCACAGACAACACAACAAGGAACTGAGAGCAGAGTCTCCAAGACCGAGCTGTCTGTCTGTGAAGACTGACCGGTCCAAGGTTCTCCCTCCAGAATTCAGTCCTGAACCAGGACCTACAGACACACGATAAGACACTATGGTCTAGACTGTCCATCTCCTGGTGTCCCCTGGAGACAAACTAGAGGAGACAAGGTTATTGTGATGACACTAATTCATGTGAATGTGTTTCTTAGAAGAGTGGGGTGACAGGAGAGCTCAGTGGACCAAGAAGAAAGAAGCAGAGCAAGCATCAGCACCACACCTCAGGCTGGACTCTCACAGCCTTCAGGTTTGTAGATGTTTATTTCCATCTTCTCTTCAGACACACTGCAACTGTTTGTGTGCGTCCTGTGACTTGTAGAGTTCTGGTGAAGTGAAGACGCTGCTGATAAAAAGCATGTGGTTCTCCATGTCTGAGTCTGTTAGAAGAGATTGTTCACTTGGGTCTTTACTCCATTCTGCAGCTGGATGATTTTATTGATCAATGTTCTTGAGTTCTTTAAACGGTTCTGTCCAGCCACTGATATTTAGAGTTTCCTGTCAGGGTTCTTTTTCCCTTCTTCTCAAAAATAGTGTGTCAATCACATAAATATCAGGCTGCGTTCAACACTGAATGATCCTGCATTAGTGAGGAGAAACCATAGAAACTGGTCTGTGTCTGCTTTAAAATACCAAGGCTTTCCCATAATTCAGTGGGGCTTTAAGAGGTCAGGACAAACTCAGAGCCAGATCTTTATTTTCTGAAGTTTTGATGACAGAAATGAAGCAGAACAACATCAGTTTTTTCACTGCAGACTTTTAAAAACAGCTCTATTTCTGTTGTTGTTGGAAATAAAGATCAGATCTTCAGCCTCGTTCTTCTTCTC